ACTGGTCTAATGCTTATAACAATTTAACTTTAGCACTCTGTGGTAAGATCTGTCTTTATCTCAACCCTTTGTGCCCCACACTGGGTGCCAAAAAGACTTCTGTGGTTTAACACGGTAGTTTGAGTACATGGAATTATTTGAAGAGGTCCAGAGGAGGGCCACAAAGGCAATCAAGGGGCTGGAGCACTTCTGCTATGAAGGCACACTGAGAGAACTGGCACTACTCAGCAGCGGAGAAACCTTAGAGCAACCTTCCAGTGCTTAGAGAGGACTTACAGGAAAGCTGGGGAGACAGTCTTTGTCTGGGAGTGTAGTGATGGGACAAGGAGAAATGCTATTAAACTAACAGAGTGTAGGTTTCAATTGGATACATGGAAGAAGCTTTTTCGTCTGAGGATGGTGAGGCATTGGAACAGGTTTCCTGGAAAAGCTGTAAATGTCCCATCCCTGGAAGTGTTCAAGGACAGGAGTTTTGAGCAACCAAGTCTAGTAAGAGTATGGTTGGAATAAGAGGATCTTTAAGGTCCCTTCCAACCCAAAACATTCTATGATTCTATGATCCCATGTTTCTATGATTATCTATGACACTGCTACCATTGTCCTTGTGAAACCCGTAAAGGCTCTCCTCAGAGGTTTTAACCAAGATTTTTGGTTAGTGCAGCTGACATCCTGTTACAAGTGGTGTCCCCCAGGGGTCAGTACTGGGACCTATCTTGTTTCATGTCTTTATTGATGACCTAGATGAGGGGATTGAGTGTACCCTCAGTAAGTCTGCAGATGACACCAAGTTGGGAGGTAGTGACGATCCGCATGAGGGTAGTGTGGCCTTTCAGAGGGACCTGGATAGGCTGGATTGCTGGGTTGAGGTGAATGGGATGAGGCTCAATAAGGCCAAGTGCAGGGTCCTACAATTTAGCCACAATAACTCCATGCAATGCTATAGACTTGGGGCAGAGTGCCTAGAAGACTGTGAAAAGGAAAAGAACCTGGGAGTGTTGATGGATGCTCGGCTAAACAAGAGCAAGCCATGTGCCCAGGTGGCCAAGAAGGCCAAGGGCATCCTGGCTTGTATTAGAATCCTGACTGTACTCAGTTCTGGTGAGGCCACATCTCGAGTACTGCCTTCAGTTTTGGGCCTCTCATTACAGGAAGGACACTGAGGCCCTGCAACATGTCCAGAGAAAGGCAACCAAACTGTTGAGGGTTCTGGAGCACAGGTGTTATGAAGAGTGGCTGAGGGAACTGGGATTATTTAGTCTGGAGAAGAGGCTCAGGGGAGACCTCATTGCACTCTACAACTTCCTGAAGAGAGGTTGATGTAAGGCAGGGGTCAGCCCCTTCTCTCAGATAACTAATGATAGGACTTGAGGAAAAGGCTGCAAGTTGTGCCTGGGGATGTTTAGATTAGATATCACAAAAACCTTTTTCTCTCACAGAATAGTCAGGCACCGGAATGGTCTGCCCAAGGAGGTGCTGGAGTCACCAACCCTCGCACTGTTCAAGAAGCACCAGGACAAGGTGCTAGGAGATATGACTTTGTAACTTAGCGTGTAGAATTAGTGATAGTTGGACTAAATGATCCTGTAGGTCCTTTCCAACGTTGTGTTTCTATGATTTCTGATTTTATGGTAGGACAAGGGGAGTGGTTTTAAACTTAAAGAGGGTACATTTAGAGTAGATAGTCAGATGAAATTCTTGACTTAAAGGTGAGGCACTGGAACTGGTGCTGTGGGTCCAGAGATCACCCAGGGGGAGTTTGGATCAGCCCATGCCCTTGTGTTTGAAGGAACAGCTGGTGAGAGTGGAGAGGCAGCAGTGAAATCATGGGAACAGCAGAGTGAGAGCAAGGTGGGGAAGAGAAGTGGTTGTCTGCAGCCTTCAGGGAAGTGTGGGACAGCACAAGAAAGCATGCAGAGGAGAAGGCAGAGGGCTCTGACAAGAATGGAAGGCTGCAGCAGCACTCACATCTTTGTCCCCTTGGCCATGGCTTAGGAGGAGACGTGTTATACCCATGGCATTGGGACCATGAATTCTCCTTTCAACCCTGTGCAAATGCTGGAAGGTGTCATACCATTGCCCTTCACATATGGTATTGTGGGCATCTCCCCCTACCCCACAAACCCCAGGAAGAGCCCTGAGTGAGACATAGGGGTGCTGGGGTTGTAGAATCTCCCCTCCCAGTGGCTGGGGTCAGGCCTTGGCCCTTCTGCTTCAATAAAATAAACTGAGATTTTCTCAGTACACTGCCTTTGCCAATCTGAAATCATGGCCTCCAATTATCTGCCCTAACAATTCCCATGGGAGGCTTTGTGAGGAACAGAATAGAATAGGCAACAGAGTATAGAGTATTCTAATACTACAAAATAGAGTAGCCAACAGAGGTGAGACAGGTGCTCTGATATAATGACAACCATCAGAAAGCTGATCCCAGTTAGAGGACTGCTATGGAGAGGTCAGGAGTAGCCTGGCCAGGAGAGATGTCAGATAGGGGTACGGGAAGAAGAAGTGAAGAGGAGTTTGGAACCTTACCTTTGTAGAGGTAAGATGGTTCATGCAATGTTGATGCTGCTGTAAAACTGACTTCAGACATTCATGTACGGCCTGTAAACTATTTAAAAAAAAAAAAAAAAAACAATAATCCTTAAACCTAAACATTAGTGCAACTTCCTGACAGGAATCCACTATTGTAAAACAGAACTCAAAATACCACCTGAAGAAAAACTCAGCCCATAGCCCCCTTTCCTTCCCTTTAGTCTCTTGCTCACCCTAATCCCTGCCCTTAGCACTAACTTTAAAATGTCATGTTTATCCATAGTCTTTTCACACACCAAAACAAAACCCTAAACCTTAATGCTTGCCCATACCGTAACCAGAAACCTGACACCACAAACGGAACACTAAATCTTCCAACATAAACTTTGCTTAATCTCTAACCCAGAATGGTAAAATCTACTCCCTACGATACAAGAGAGAGGTGAGCTCTGCGTCAGGATCTCCTGCCCCAGCAGGAGGAATGTGACTGTGGCAGGGACTGTGAGGTCACTTCTGTCTCTGCACTTGATAGGGCAGCAGCAGGAATGTGTCACAGAAAGGGACTGGGAGGTCACTTGTGTCTGGAGGGGGCAGGTCACCCTTGACATAGACCTGGGATTTGCACTTTTGGGCTGACATCTGGCAGTGGCCCTGCTAGGCCAGCAGAAGGCACCTGCTTGGCATGCTGACTGGGGGATCCCCTCTGCCTCCAGAGCCAGGAGGACCCAGGCAGAAAGAAGGCCCCAACATGGGTTGTCCTGTCCCTTCTGCTTGAGTCCATGACTGCACAGCAGCAGGCACAAGGCTTGGCTGTGTCTAGCCAAGAAGCTGCAAAGCCAGCAGCAGGCCCCTGGCTTGGAAGCTGCTGCTGAGGTGACTTTTGTCTGGTTAACTGAGAGGCCGCAAGGAGCCTGCTGGGTTGGGATGCCTACTTCAGGAGTGGTTTCCACTACAAGAATGCCATACGAGCAGTTGTGCCTTATCACCAGGAACCAGGCCAGCTTCCTACAGATTTGCCTTATGAGATATTTGGGTCCATGGCTATGGCTATTGTCTCTGCCACTAAAGCTTTTGATGAGACAGATAATCATTAAAGCACCAGATCCTAATTGGCTTCTCGTGGGCTCATCAGCAAAGCCACCAGAGTGGTGTTTATAATACCTTGGGATAGGCCTCTGGTGCTGAGCTGGGCCGGACTCCTGGGACATGAGAAAACACATTTTAAAAAGTTCCATGAAGCAGAGAGACAGCTGTGCCCAGGAGCAACTCCTCTGCATAGCGCAGCAGGAAAGAGACACAGAGGCACAGACACAGAGAGAAGAAAAGGAGAGAGGGGCTGAAGGCAGTTGGCAGCGGGAGGATGCTGAGAGCTGCCTGCAGGAGAAACATGCACAGCCCTTGACAAGGTAAGGGTCTGGCTGCAGGGCCATGCAGCTGCAGGTCCTGGAAGGGTCTCCTGCTGGGTCTTGTTTCTGGGAGGGCAGTGGGCAATGCAGTAGGCTTTGAGAGTCCTGCTGGGTTGCCTTGCGAGGTGAGGAAGTCTGGCAGAAGCCCCTTGGAGTGTCATAACCTAGCTACCCTTGGTCAGATAAGACAGGGGTGGCTAGAACACTGCAGGAGATGCAGCTAGGATACTGGCACACACAAGCTTGCAGATATCCAGCTCTGTCTGTGGGGCATCCTCCTGGGCTGCAGGCTGCTCTCTAGCAGGATGCAGCTCTCTCGTGGCATCGTTGTGTTATCCAGGTGCCCCAAGGAGAAGACACCTCCTTGCTAAGGCCATGTCCGTGCTGCTGGATGGCTGTCTGTGGGCAGCTGGTTTGAGGCTTCTGCACTCCTATCTAGGAGGGAAGAGCTGAGATCCTGATCACACACCTGGAGATAAGGTGAGGATTCTGTCCATCTGCCTTTTGAGTCGGGCTTCTCTGCTCTCAGCTGTCTCCAGTTTCTTCTCATGCCCAAGCTCACTGCTGGGAAGGTCTGCTCTGCTCAGTCTTCACCAAGGGACAGCCCCTTTGCCTCCTGGCATCTGCACGATTTCACCAGGAGCACACATATCAAGTCACAGAGTTCAACCATCCAATAATTCACCTAAGCGTTACAGGGGCAACCGAATAACATTAAAGCAAGCAAAACACCGCAGCTCTGCTCTGCATTCAGATGAGTTGTTTGCAAGAAAATTCTGCAAACTTATTGACTTGACAAGTGGACTGAACTCGAGTTTCCCCCATGTTCCTGATTCCCTCCTGCTGCAGGTAGGACTCCTCTGCAGCACATAGAGGCCCCTGTGCCCAGTGCCAGTCTCAGCCAGCACCAGCCACAACTCGAGCAGGAGAGCTGCAGAAAGGTTCTGCTGCAAAGAGAGAGGCTCTGTTTGGGGGTTCTCTATGACTTGTAATAAGTTTTCCTCATCCAAATCAGTTCTAACTTTGTTCTACCTTTTTCTCTCCAACAGAGAATGTCAGAAAATGCCCAACATCAGCTCTGTGAGCGAGTTCCTGCTGCTGGCATTCGCAGAGACGCGCGAGCTGCAGCTCCTGCACTTCGCGCTCTTCCTGGGCATCTACCTGGCTGCCCTCCTGGGCAACGGCCTCATCCTCAGCGCCGTAGCCTGCCACCACCGCCTCCACACCCCCATGTACTTCTTCCTGCTCAACCTCGCCCTCCTCGACCTGGGCTGCATCTCCACCACTCTGCCCAAAGCCATGGCCATATCCCTCTGGGACACTAGGGCCATCTCCTATCAAGGCTGTGCTGCACAGGTCTTCTTTATAGCCTTCTTCATTGGAGCAGAGTATTCCCTTCTCACTGTCATGGCCTACGACCGCTACGTTGCCATCTGCAAGCCCCTGCACTACGGGAGCCTCCTGGGCAGCAGAGCTTGTGCCCAGATGGCAGCAGCTGCCTGGGGCAGTGGCTTTTTCCATGGTGTCCTGCACACGGCCAACACATTTTCCCTGCCCCTCTGCCACGGCAATGCTGTGGACCAGTTCTTCTGTGAAATCCCCCACATCCTCAAGCTCTCCTGCTCAGATGCTTATCTCAGGGAAGCTGGTCTTCTAGTCGTTAGTGCATGTTTAGCATTTGGTTGTTTTGCATTCATTGTGCTGTCCTATGTTCAGATCTTCAGGGCAGTGCTGAGGATGCCCTTTGAACAGGGCCGGCACAAAGCCTTTTCCACGTGCCTCCCTCACCTGGCTGTGGTCTCGCTTTTTCTCAGCACTGGCATTTTTGCCTACCTGAAGCCTAAATCAATCTCTTCCCCATCCCTGGATCTGCTGGTGTCACTTCTGTACTCAGTGGTACCTCCAGCAGTGAACCCCCTCATTTACAGCATGAGGAACCAGGAGCTCAAACAGGCAGTGAGGAAACTGTTTTTGTATGTGCTTATTAAACATCAATATTGTTAATATTATTGTGATTTTTATCATATTATTTTTATCCTTAGTATTATTATCATATTGTAAACATTAATAATAATCCTGTCAGGACTATTATTGTATTTGAGAAACGAACATGACAGATTTTCTTATCTTTTTTTTTCTTTTTTTTTTTTATTATTATTATTATTATTATTTTCATAACTTCTGATTTTGGTTTAATTTATTTAGTAATTTTTTACTTTGAGTACATCTTCTAATCAACCTATTGAACTAGGTATCCTCTCTAGGTATAGACAATAAAGCAGACAGCATAAATTCACTGGTCTGAGCTGCCATCTCTTCCAATCCCCTCTGGAGCTGGGAGAGCAGCCCCAGCATGCAGGAGGGGCTCGGGGCCAAGAGCCCAGCTGCCACATGGAAGAACAGCCCCGGTGGCCCTCGGGGCTGCCCCTCACTGCCCGCTGGGCTCTGCCTCTCTGCTGCCTTTGGATCGGGGCTGCTGCTTCCCTGGAGCCATGGCCATGGCCGGCAGCAGGACGTGGCCTTGTCACTGCTGCTCTCTTTTGGCTTCCACATTGTGCTTCTTTTTTTCTGGGTAAGCCCTGATATCTCGTGTACCTTGGCGACAGTCCTGTTGTCTCTGCAGTGCCATACATGTGACTGCAGGCAGCAGCAGGCACTGTGCAGCCCTGGGTCACTGTACAGCCCTGCCTCCCTGCTAGCACCACAGTAACAAATGGGGTTTTAGTTGGGGCTTCCGGGAATGAAGAACATAGACTTAAATTCCAAGGACAGTCTGTGAGGGACCAAAGGCTTGACCAAGAGCTTTATGGCAGCACCTGACAACAACTGGACTCATCTGCATGGCACTGCCCCCCTGCAGTGGGGCTCATGGCCACTGTCAGCCTGGAGAGGAATCTGGAGCTGCCAGGAGATGTCAGGGGATCTGCAGGGAGAACATGCAACGTTCAGTTGGTAGGGATTATAACCTCATAATATTAATGGCCATCCAAAGAAGAGTTTGGTAAAGAAAAAGGGGAATCTGAGGAGTCCATGGGCTAAGGACAGCTCTGCCATGGCAGGAGTGGTACTGAAGAGCCAGCAGACAAAGACCTCTAAGAGTGTAGAGTAATTGAGGATAACCTTCTTGAGGCCTCATGGACCAGGTCTGGTGCAGCACTCGCCTGCCCTTTGTGCCCTCAGAGACACCCCATGGCCCTGCCCAGCACTGCCCTGTGCTGCTGAGCCATCAGGGCAGATGGAAAGGGGCTCAGCAGCAGAGATCCCCAGGGAGTTGAGTCTACTGTCCACCCTGAGCAGCACAGGCAGGGCGAAGACCCGCGGGGTCCTGGGTCACCACAGCCCCTGGCTCTCACAGCAGAACCGCCAGCTTGGGGCCCTGCAGGGAGCACAGGGAGGGAAGCAGCAATGGCCAGCCAGGCCAGCATGGACACATTACCCTGGGCCTTCTCTGGGAGCAGGGATGGCCCTGGGGAAGAGCAGGGCAGCATTGCTGGGCCTGCACTGATGGGGAAAGGGCAAAGGGAAAGCTCTTTGTGCAGGCCCCTGCTCGGGGCAGGCTGCACTGTGGCTGGGCCAGGCCTCTTGTGCTGGCCTGGGGAGCGGGGCTGGCCCTGCAGGGCACAGGCACTGTGTGCTGGGGATCTGCCAGGCAGGAGAGCAGGGCTCCTGCAGCTTCACGGACCTCCATTTCCTGGCACCATAGCCAGCCTCCTCCTTGCTCACCCCAACCAGACACTACACCTGTACGAGCTGCCTGCTTCCTCCTCCTCTAGAGGGCAGAGGGGAGGGAACAGTATAAGTAATGAAACTCACAATTTGAAAGACACATAAGGATAGGAAAGGAAAAGAAAAAAGAAAGAAATAAAAATCAAAAGCCAAACATGATGAACATTTTGTAACTCATCAGTTCCCACTAGCAGACCATTGTGCACACAGTCTCTGAGAGAGTGCCACCTTGCCTTGGAAAGATGATCCCAATATGTATTGCTGAGCACTATGTTATGTGCCATGGAACATCCATTTGGTCAGGCTGGGTCAGCTGTCACAGCGGGTTCCCTTCCTAGACTTTTGCCCACCCTCAACCACCTTGCTGGTCGGGCAGAGTGAGAAGCAGAGAAGGCCTTGATGTTGTGCAAGCAATGTTCAGGAACAAGGTCCAGAGCCATGGGTGACCAACACTGCCCTAGACACATCAAAAACACAGAACCACAGGAGATGATCTGCACAGAGTAACTCCATCCCAGCCACAGCCAGTGCAGGGCCCTGTGCTGGACTAGAAGGCTCCCTCTGAGCTCTGGAAGGAGCCAAGGAGGTGCTAATAAGCACCAGGACAATTGAGGAAGCCCAAAGGCCCTTCTGAAGGGTCACAGAGAGGCAGTGCTGGGCAGTGGGGAGGGCCAGGAGACTTGGCCCTCCCCACCTGGGACTTGGGTGAAAGCTGTGAGAAACAGAGACACTCAGAGCTTTAGCAGCAGTCTGTGCATGGAGTAGGAGGACGAGGTCAGTCCTGGGACTGGGGCAGGGCTGAAGGTCCCTGCGTGAAGCTGGGCTGATGGAGAAGTGTCCACCTTGCATGTGTGCCTCAGCCTGGGAGCAGGGGCCTGCCCATGGTGCGGGATGGCTGGGCTGTGCTCAGCCATGCCCCAGGAGATGACCTTGCTCTCTTCCTCCCCACACGGGGCAGGCCCTCAGGAACACCCCTGAGCCTGGACATGCACCAACCTGCTGCACTGAGGTGCCACTACTGCAGGGGAAGAGGGGAGGCTTGGAGAGACACGTGGGGCCTGCGGACAAGAGTGGTGTGGCCTGGGGAAGTGAGTGCCTGGGAAAAGTTACCCTGGAGCCATAGGAGCCATTCTGGAAAGAAAACTTGTAGGCAGGAATCGCACTTTTGTGGCACTGCAGAGCTGCTGGGCACATTGTGCAGGGTGCTCTGATGGACTTTGGTGTCCTTTTCCATCGTGTATTAAGTGACGCTTTTCTCAGGAATAGAGTAGCCAACAGAGCACTGACAGTCTAAGATCATGCAAGGCATCATAAGCATGCCCCTAAAAAGATAACTGATATGGGGAAATCAAGAGAAGCCTGGTCAGGAAAAATGTGAGATAGAGAGGAGGAAATAGGGGCTTGGCCAGCCAAAATTAAGGATTTTGTAGAGGTAAGGGGGTTCAGGTTATGCTGATGCTGCTGTAACTGTGAATTTAAATAGTCATACGTGGCTATTCCCCAGCTTCGACCTATAAACTAAATTCCTAAACCTATATGCTACTCAGCACCCTGACAGGAATCCACTACTCTAATGAGTGACCTCAACGTATCCCTAAAAGACAAAACTCAGCCCATAGCTGATTCCCCTAGCTCTTACTCTCTTAATTACTCTGATCTCTGCACTTAATACTAGCATTAAAATGATACATTTTACACCAGAAAACTGCTTAAGAGACCTAAATAAAACCCTTACCCCAAATGAATGTGAGGGGCCATGGATCTGATCAGCTTGTGGGTCACAAGGAGGAGATGGGTGGGAATGCTCTGAGGAGCTAAACTCTGCCTCAGGATCTCCTGCCCCAGCAGCAGGAATGTGACTGTGGCAGGGACTGTGAGGTCACTTCTGTCTCTGCACTTGATAGGGCAGCAGCAGGAACGTGTCACAGAAAGGGACTGTGAGGTCACTTGTGTCTGGAGGTGTCAGGTCAGCCTTGACTTCTCCCTGGCATCTGCACTTTTGGGCTGACATCTGGCAGTGGCCCTGCTAGGCCAGCAGAAGGCACCTGCTTGGCATGCTGACTGGGGGATCCCCTCTGCCTACACACCCAGGAGGACCCAGGCAGAAAGAAGGCCCCAACATGGGTTGTCCTTTCCCTTCTGCTTGAGTCCATGACTGGGCACCAGGAGGCACAAGGCTTGTCTGTGTCTAGCCAAGAAGCTGCAAGTCCAGCAGCAGGCCCCTGGCTTGGAAGCTTCTGCTGAGGTGACTTGTGTCTGGTTGGCTGAGAGGCCGCAAGGAGCCTGCTGGGTTGGGATGCCTACTTCAGGAGTGGTTTCCACCCTGATGGAGTTTCCTTTGGCAGTAGAAAAGAGCAGGAAAGAAAAAACTGCTACATAGTGTTCCATGGAAGGCTGGCACTGGTTACAAGGAGGGAGAAATGTCCCTCAGAGGGTCATGCTGTGGTGCAAAAGGTCACCCTCTGATCAGACCCTTGCTTTGTGTTTCAATAAATAGCTGGTGAGGGTTGACAAGAGGTCAGTGAAAGCTAGGGATGAGAACAAGATGGTGAACTGAGATGGTTGTCTGCAGACTTCAAGAAAATAGGGCAATGTGTGGGACAGCATAGGAAAGCCTGTGGAGGAGAAGGCAGAGTGTGCTGGTAAAAAGGGAATGCCCCAACTGCCGTGAAGGTTTTGTCCCCTTGGTTAGAGCTTATGAGTAGATATGTTATATTCATTGTGATGGGGCCTCATAGATTCCTTTCAACACATGCAACAGCTCAGAGGTTTCATACCACTCTTCTTATCACGGCATCACACTGCCCACCCCATCCCACAGATCCCCAGGAAAAGCCTTGAGGCAGACATGGGGGTACAGGATCTCCCCTCCCAGTTCCAGGGGTCAGGCCTTGCCAATTCTGCTTCACTAAAACCAACTAAGACTTTTCTCAGCACAGTGCTTTGCCTGTCTGTAACCATGGCCTCCAATTATCTGCCCTAACAAGGCCCTGGGGAGCCTTTGTTAGTAACAGCCCTCAGTGGGGCCCATTAATACTCCAAGTCACTTCAACTTTTCCTCCTGACTTTACTTGCTCAAGCGGTTGCATCACTCTCTTCTCAGTACCTGAACTTCATAGACTGAGCATCAAAATACACCATGGAACTCATTAAAATGAAGAAAATCCTAACATCTCTTCCATTTTAATCTTCAAGCCTTCACGCCTTGTGCAGCTTGCAAGATGTAATTAAGGAAGAAGATTTCACAAAGCACATAATAAAAACATTTTATTGTTTCAAAGGCTGAATTTTGTTGCATTTCAGTTTGGAGAATCATTCTCCTCTTGCTATTCATCCAGGGTGACTTCTTTGGAGAACTCCATCGGGAGGAAAATCAGAGTCTGGAGGTGTGACACCTCCACTGCCAACAGTGGTCTTTTTCCCTGTAACTGTTGCCCAGCCCAGCACATGAAACCCTTTCTAAGAGAAGTCAGGGGTTCCTTGGGAAAGAAATAAAGTATAAATAAAATAAAATTAAAATAAAATAAAATAAAATAAAATAAAATAAATAAAATAAAATAAAATAAAATAAAATAAAATAAAATAAAATAAAATAAAATAAAATAAAATAAAAATAAATTTGAAATGACCATTGGATCCTGAGAAATTTAGCCTGAATCTCAGTAGACACCTGGGCATCCATAGTCTCTCTTGGGTCTTCTGTGGAAAACTCAGGGTGAAAAATAAAGAAAATATATCTTTATTGGCTGTGTCCAGTAGAGCCTGATACATTTGTGGGTCTGATATGCTAGGACATTAAATATACCCAGTCCAGTAAACTCGATTGTCCCTTTCCTCCCTGCCTCCCCCTGGCTGGAAACAAGACCCCTCTAGTCCTGCTCATAGTATTCATTACAATGTCTGGTAGATGGCCCAATGGAAACATAGAATCATAGAATCATAGAATATCCTGAGTTGGAAGGGACCCTTAAGGATCATCAAGTCCAACTCTTGACACCGCACAGGTCTACCCAAAAGTTCAGACCATGTGACTAAGTGCACAGTCCAATCTCTTCTGAAATTCAGACAGGCTCGGTGCAGTGACCACTTCGCTGGGGAGCCTGTTCCAGTGTGCAATCACCCTCTCTGTGAAGAACCCCCTCCTGATGTCAAGCCTAAATTTCCCCTGCCTCAGCTTAACCCCGTTCCCGCGGGTCCTGTCACTGGTGTTAATGGAGAAAAGGTCTCCTGCCTCTCGACACCCCCTTACGAGGAAGTTGTAGACTGCGATGAGGTCTCCCCTCAGCCTCCTCTTCTCCAGGCTGAACAGGCCCAGTGCCCTCAGCCGTTCCTCGTGAGTCTTCCCCTCCAGGCCTTTCACCATCTTCGTAGCCCTCCTCTGGACACTCTCCAACAGTTTCATGTCCTTTTTATACTGTGCTGCCCAGAACTGCACACAGTACTCGAGGTGAGGCTGCACCAGCGCAGAGTAGAGCGGGACAATCACCTCCCTTGACCTACTAGCGATGCTGTGCTTGAAGCACCCCAGGACACGGTTGGCCCTCCTGGTATCATCACAGTGTAATCGCAGCATCATCACAGCTTCATCACAGCGTCATCACAGTATAATAAGTGTCATCACAGCATCATCACGGCATCATCATAGCATCATCACAGCGTCATCACGGCATCAAAACAGCGTCATCACAGCATCAAAACAGCATCATTATAGCATCATCACAGTGTCATAACAGCATCATCACAGCATTATCATAGCGTCATCATAGCAAAATTACAGCGTCATAACAGCACCATCTCAGCATAATCACAGCATCATCACAGCGTCATTACAGCTTGATCGCAGCATCATCACAGCGTCATCACAGCGTCATCACAGCGTCATCACAGCGTCATCACAGCGTCATTACAGGATCATCACAGAATCATCACAGCATCAGAACAGCATCATCACAGCGTCATCAGAACATCAGCATAGCGTCATCACAGCATCATCATAGCGTCATAACAGCATCATCGCATCATCATAACAGCATCATCACAGGGTCATCACACAGTCATCACAGCATCATCACAGCGTCATAACTGCATCATAACAGCGTCATCACAGCGTCATCACAGCGTCATCACAGCATCATCACAGCGTCTTTGCAGTGTCATCGCAGCGTCATAACAGCATCATCATATCGTCATTACAGCATCATTACAGCATCCTAACAGCACAATCAGAGTGCCATCACAGCATTATCAAAGCATCATAACAGCGTCATTTCAGTGTCATCACAGCATCATTATAGCATCAACACAGCATCAACACAGCGTCATCACAGCGTCATCACAGCATCATCATGGCTTCATCATAGCGTCATCACAGGGTCATCACAGCATCATCGCAGCGTCATAACAGCATCATCACAGCATCATCATAGCATCGTTACAGCATCATAACAGCACCATCTCAGCATCACATCTGCATTATCACAGCGTCATCACAGTGCCATTACAGAGTCATCACAGCGTCATCATAGCGTCATCAGAGAATAATCACAGCGTCAACACAGCATCATCATAGCGTCATCACAGCATCATCACAGCGTCATCACAATGTAATCACAGCATCATTATAGCATCATCACAGTGTCATAACAGCATCATCACAGCATTATCATAGCGTCATCATAGCAAAATTACAGCATCATAACAGCACCATCTCAGCGTAATCACAGCATCATCACAGCATCATTACAGCTTGATCGCAGCATCATCACACAGTCATCACAGCGTCAATGCAACGTCATTACAGGATCAACACAGCGTCATCACAGCGTCAGAACAGCATCATCACAGCATCATCACAGCGTAATCACAGAATCATAACAGCATAATCATAGCGTCGTCACAGCATCATCAGAGCGTCATAAGAGCATCATAACAGCGTCATCACAGCGGAAGCACAGCATCATCACAGTGTCAGCACAGCATCGTCATAGAGTTATCACAGCATCATCACAGCGTAATCACAGCATAACCACATCATCACAAGAGCATCATCACAGTATCACCAAAGCGTCATCACAGTGTCATCACAGCATCATCACAGAATCATCACAGAGTCATCACAGCATCACCACAGTGTCATCACAGCGTCATCACAGTAATTGCAGCATTATTGCAGCGTAGTACCAGCATCATCCTAACGTCATCATAGTGTCATCAGAGCGCCATAACAGCATCATCTTAGCATCATCAGAGCGTCATAACAGCGTAAGCACAGAATCAGCACAGCGTCATCACAGCGTCATCACAGCATCATCACAGCATCGTTCCAACGTCATCACAGCATTATCATAGCGTCACCACAGCATCCTCACAGCGGCATAACATCGTCATCACAGTATAATCACAGAATCATCACAGCGGCATCACAGAACCATAACAGCTTCATGACAGCATCATCACAGTGTAATCATAGCATCATAACAGCATCGTCATAGTGTCATCATAGCATCATCATAGCGTCATCAGAGTATCATCACAGCGTCATCACAGTGTCATCATTATTTCATCGCGGCTTCCTTGCTGCGTCATCGCAGCATCATAACAGTGTCATCACAGCGTCATCACAGCGTCATCATAGCATCATCAAAGTGTCATCACAGCGTCATCACAGCATCATCACAGCGTCACAAGAGCATCATCACATCATCATCACAGCGTCATCACAGCATCATCCCAGCGTCATCACCGCATTATCATAGCGTCATCACAGCATCATCACAGCGTCATAAAAGCATCATCACAGCGTCATCACAGCATCATCACAGCGTCCCAGGAGCATCATCAGACCATCATCACAGCATCATCACAGCATCATAATAGTGTCATCACATCATCATCACAGCATCGTCCCAGCGTCATCACAGCATTATCATAGCGTCACCACAGCATCCTCACAGCGTCATAACAGTGTCATCACAGTATAATCTCTTCTTAAATTCAGTCAGGCTCGGTGCAGTGACCACTTCCCTGGGGAGCCTGTTCCAGCGTTCAACCACCCTCTCTGTGAAGAACCCCCTCCTGATGTCAAGCCTAAATTTCCCCTGCCTCAGCTTAACCCCGTTCCCGCGGGTCCTGTCACTGGTGTTAATGGAGAAAAGGTCTCCTGCCTCTCGACACCCCCTTACGAGGAAGTTGTAGACTGCGATGAGGTCTCCCCTCAGCCTCCTCTTCTCCAGGCTGAACAGGCCCAGTGTCCTCAGCCGTTCCTCGTACGTCTTCCCCTCCAGGCCTTTCACCATCTTCGTAGCCCTCCTCTGGACACTCTCCAACAGTTTCATGTCCTTTTTATACTGTGCTGCCCAGAACTGCACACAGTACTCGAGGTGAGGCCACACCAGCGCAGAGTAGAGCGGGACAATCACCTCCCTCGACCTACTAGCGATGCCGTGCTTGATGCACCCCAGGACACGGTTGGCCCTCCTGGCTGCCAGGGCACACTGCTGGCTCATATTCAACTTGCTGTCTATCACCACCCCCAGATCCCTCTCTTCTAGGCTGCTCTCCAGCGTCTCATCGCCCAGTCTGTCCATGTAGCCAGGGTTTCCCCATCCCAGGTGCAGGACCCGGCACTTGCTCTTATTGAACTTCATGCGGTTGGTGATCGCCCAGCTCTCCAACCTATCCAGATCGCTCTGCAAGGCCTTTCCACCCTCAACAGAGTCCACAACTCCTCCAAGTTTGGTGTCATCAGCAAACTTGCTCAAAATACCTTCTATTCCTACGTCCAGATCGTTTATAAAAATATTGAAAAGTACCGGCCCTAAAATGGAGCCTTGAGGGACCCCACTGGTGACCGCCCGCCAGCCTGACGCAGCCCCATTCACCATAACCCTTTGGGCCCTGCCCGTTAGTCAATTGCTCACCCATCGTATGATGTTTTTATTTAGCTGTATGGTGGACATTTTGTCCAGTAGGATCCTATGGGAAACCGTGTCAAAAGCCTTGCTGAAGTCCAAAAAAATCACATCAGCTGGTTTCCCTTGGTCCACCATACGGGTGATCTTATCCTAAAAGGAAATCAGGTTAGTTAGGCAGGACCTACCCTTCACAAACCCATGCTGGCTGGGACCAATGACTGCTTTGTCCCCCAGGTGCGCCTCAATAAGTTCGAGAACCATCTTCTCCATGATTTTACCAGGCACTGACGTGAGACTGACAGGCCTGTAATTGCTAGGCTCTTCTTTCTGACCCTTCTTGAAAAACGGCACAACATTTGCCAGCTTCCAGTCTACCGGGACCTCTCCAGATTCCCAGGATCTTTGAAAAATAATTGAGAGAGGTTCTGCGATGACGTCCGCCAGCTCTTTCAGCACCCGGGGATGAATCCCATCTGGACCCATGGACTTGTAGGGATCCAGGTGGAGTAGCAAATCCCGCACACGTTCAGGGTCGGTTGGGAGTTTGTCATCCCCACCGTCCCGGTCCTCCAGCTCAGGGCACCCTGGGTCCCGAAGCCCATCATCGGCATTGAAGACAGAGGCAAAGAAGGCGTTAAGCGTCTTTGCTTTGCCTAGGTCATCGTCTGTGAGGAGACCTTCCCTATCAAGGAGCGGCCCTATGTATTCTTTAGTTCTCCTTTTTCCATTCACATATCTGAAAAAAAATTTTCTTTTCTCTCACAGACACAGCCAGCTTCAACTCTAGGTGTGCTTTAGCCACACGAATTTTCTTCCTACAAACACGAACAACATCCCTGTATTCTTTCCATGTCACCTGGCCCTCCTTCCAGTAGCGAAACACTCTCTGTTTCCGCCTAATCTCCATAAGAATGTTCCTGGTCAGCCACTCCGGCCTCCTGCCCCGCCTGCCTGACTTGCGATATTTAGGAATTGCCTGATCTTGTGCTTCTAGGAGGCATCGCTTAAAGAGTGACCAGCACTGGTGGACATCAAGGCCTTCAAGAGAAGTTTCCCAGGGGACCTTGCTGACTAGTTCCCCGAGCAGCCTGAAGTCCGCCTTCCCCATATCTAGGGATGAGGTTTTGGTGGCACTTTTCCTTCTGTCACCGTAAATTTTGAACTCAACCACTTCATGGTCGCTATGACCGAGGCGGCCACCAATCACCACATCTCCCACCAGACCCTCTCTGTTTTCTAGCAACAGGTCTAGGAGGGCACCTTTCCTAGTTGGCTCCGTTAGCACCTGCACCAAGAAGTTATCATCTAGGTGCTTCATGAACCTCCTGGACTTGCTCGTGTCAGCCGTGTGGCACTCCCAGTTAACGTCTGGCAAGTTGAAGTCCCCCATAAGGACAAGGGCAGTTAATCTCGAGGCCTCTCTTAGTTCTGTAAAGAAGAATTTATCGGCGCTATCGTCCTGGCCAGGCGGTCTGTAATAGACTCCCACAACGACATCCCCTTTATTCGTTCGTCCCTTGATCCTTACCCAGAGGCTCTCAACTTTGCCATCACCGACCTGAAGTTCCACACAGTCCAGCCCCTGCTTCACATACATCGCCACCCCACCACCTCGCCTACCCTGCCTGTCCCTCCTGAAGAGCCTGTAACCATCTATCGCAACACCCCAGTCACAGGACTCATCCTACCAGGTTTCGCTTATGCCGATGATGTCGTAGTTGCGGGACTGGGCCAGGACTTCTAGCTCATCCATTTTATTCCTCATACTGCATGTGTTTGTGTAGAAGCATTTCAGGTGCGTCTCCTTACACTCAGCACCTTGTGGATCTAACTGAAGGACCTCACTGGCACACAGCCCCTCTGATTCTAGCGTACCATCCCTTAAGTCTTCACCGGCGTGCCTGGTTTTAGCCCCTTCCCCCTTCGACTCTAGTTTAAAGCCCTATCTATCAGCCCTGCCAACTCCTGACCAAAGATCCTTACCCCTCTCCGAGAGAGGCCCTTCCCATCCGGTGCCATCAGGCCCGGTGTAGCATAGACCCTCCCGTGATCAAAGAACCCAAAGTTCTGCCGGTCACACCAGTCTCAAAGCCACGAGTTTATGTGAACAGCACACCTTTCAGCTTCGATCCCCCCTATTGGAAGGACAGAGGCAAACACAACCTGCACGCCTGATCCTCTAAGTAGTTGCCCCAAATCCCTAAAGTCTCTTTTGATTGCGTTTGGACTTCTTGTTGCTACTTCATCGCTACCAGCCTGAAAGACCAGTAGCGGGTAGTAGTCAGTGGGCCATACCAGGCGCTTGACTTTCTTGGCAAAGTCTCTCACCCGAGCCCCAGGGAGACAACAGACTTCTCTGCGGGTTGTGTCCGGTCGGCATATCGGTCCCTCTGTCCCTATGGGAGCCCCCCATAACAATAGCCCTTCTTTCTTTTTTGAAGGATGATGTGGCAATGCGATGTGTAGGTCGCTTTGTCTTAGGCACCCCCTCCAACTGGGACGGGTTTTTATCTACTTTGTCATTCAGATTGTCTTGTTGTAGTCCTTCATATCGATTGTTTAAGGGTAGATAAGAAGGTGAGGTGGGCAGAGAGAGGGCTCGCCTACCACCCCGAATAGGCACCTGCCTCCATTCCCCCCCTTGATCTAGGTCTCCTCCCGCTGCCTGGCAGGAGGAGGGAACCTCCGTCTTCTGCATAACAGGAGACGCCTGTGCTGTGGCAGTCTCGTGAGCCTGCCTCAGAGAGGGTAGAGTGCACCTCCACCAGTCAATTTCCATCTCTGATTCCCTGATGCTCCTGAGCCTGTTCACCTCCTCCCGGAGCACCGCTACCTGGCTGAGCAGTTCTTCAACCTGGGCACACCTCCCACAGGCATACCCACCACTGCTGTCGGAGACTGACAGAAGGCTGGGGCACACTCCGCAGCCCAGGACCTGGACGGCTGTGTGTTTCCCCGAGCTCTCCGTCTGAGTAGGTCGGATCAGGTCATCCACCTGCTCGCACCTCACGCACACAGTGTCTCTGCCTCCCGCCGATGGCAGCAGCAGGCTCTGACACTCCCTGCATCTGGTGACCTGAACCGCTGCATTCTTTAACGGGTAGTCGGTCTGGGTGTATACCGGCTTCCTGGAGAACCCACCGTGCCTGGTGGAGACCATTATCACCTAGCTAACGGCTGTCGTTAAGAGGTGTTCGTGTGGGCAGGCGGTTGCTCTCTGCCCTTCCTGCTCGCCCTGCCTGCGCTAACTGCCGCGCTAACTGCCACTACTGAGGTCAAACTGACAGGCCTGTAGTTTCCTGGGTCTGCCCTCCGGCCCTTCTCAGAGTGATTAAGCGAGTAAGAGCTAGGGGAAGTGACTATGGGCTGAGTTTTGTCTTCTAGGGATACGTTGAGGTCAGTCATTAGAGTAGTGGATTCCTGTCAGGGTGTTGAGTAGCATTTAGGTTTAGGAAATAAGTTTATAGGTTGAAGCCAGGGAATAGCCTCATATAACTAAGTCACTGCTACAGCAGTATCAGCAGAACCTGAACTGTCTTACCTCTACAAAATCCTTGATTTCTGCTGGCATAGCCCCTGTTCCCTCCCCCAAATCTCACATCTCTCTTGTCCAGCCTTCTCCTGACCTCCCCATATCAGACATCTCATTGGGATCAGCTTTCTGATGGCTTTCATGGTCTCAGATTATCCATCACACCTCTGTTGGCTGCTCTATTTCAGAGAAAAGCACTACTTAATATACGATGGTAAAGGATAAAAAAGTCCATTAGAGCACCCTGCACCATGTGCCCAGCAAATCAGCACCATCACAAAAATGCGGTTCCTGCCTACAAGTTTTCTTCCCAGAATGGCTCCTATGGCTCCAGGGTAACTTTTCCCAGGCACTCACTTCCCCAGGCCACACCACTCTTGCCCTCAGGCCCCACGTGTCTCTCCAAGCCTCCCCTCACCCCCTGCAGTAGTGGCACCTCAGCACAGCAGGTTGGTGCATGTCCAGGCTCAGGGGTGTTTCCTGAGGGCCTGTCCTGTGTGGGGATTGGTGGGGAGGAAGAGAGCAAGGTCATCTCCTGGGGCATGGCTGAGCACAGCCCAGCCATCCCGCACCGTGGGCAGGCCCCTGCTCCCAGGCTGAGGCACACATGCAAGGTGGACACTTCTCCATCATTCCAGCTTCATGCAGGGCCCTTCAGCCCTGCCCCAGTCCCAGGAGTGACCTCGTCCTCCTACTCCATCCACAGACAGCTGCTAAAGCCCTGAGTGTCTGTGTTTCTCACAGCCTAAACACAAGTCTTTCTCCTGGCCCTCCCCACTGCCCAGCACTGCCTCTCAGGTGGCACTCAGGGACCCTTCAGAAGGGCCTTTGGGCTTCCTCAATTGTCCTGGTGCTTATTAGCACCTTCCTGTCTCCTTCCAGAGCACAGAGGGAGTCTTCTTGTCCATCAGGGGCCCTGTACTGGCTGTGTCTGGGACAGAGTTAGTATCTGCAGAGCAGCCCCTGAGGTGCTGCGTTTTGGATATGTGACCAGAGCAGTGCTGGTAACCCACAGCTCTGGTCGCTGTTTTTGAGCAATGTTGGCAGAGCATCAGGGCCTTCTGTGGCTCACAATTAATGAGTTTTATTTACTTTTGCAATTCTGCCTCCAATTCTTCATGAAGAAAAGAAAGCAGGTGGCCAAT